ATAGTCAATATTTTGACTGGCTTTGTAGGTCAAATGGCCTCTGTCATAACTACTCAACTCTGCTATTGTAGTGAAAAGGCAGTCTTAGACAATATATAAATAAATGGATGTGATTGTGTGACAGCGAAACTGTATTTACAAAAGCAGGTGGCAAGTGAGATTGGAGCCTGAGTTCATAGTTTGCTGACCTCCGCTCTTAAAGGAAGGAGCGCTTGGGTTATTAATGTCTGCATTTCATTTCTTCTATGGGACTGTGAGCTCTTTGAGGGCAAGGGCTCTATCTTGGTCACTTCTGCATCCCTTTGGAAACAGCAGATGCCCAGTTACAAGTTTTTGAATTGATGTTCCCCCTGCCCACCATGGAGAACAACGCCAGTGGTGTGCATGTCTCCCAGTACCTGCTCCAAGAGGCATCCCAAAAGTGTTGCTGGGAGCCAGGCTGTGATACAGGACAAAAGAAGGTGAGAGGCCTCCATCCTCTTCCCTCCTTTTCTCCCCTACCCCAGTCACTCTAGAAAGTTCTCTGGGAAATTCTCTGGGCCGAATGAGTTAATATGAACAAACCTCCTAGGGCCGGTAAGAGGCAGAGCTGGCAAACAGTCTTGACTTTGGGTCCACCATCCTTTGGAGCCTTCCACGATCAATGACTAGGCAGTGCTGGTGAAAATAGGTACATACTGGAATGGAAGGTTCTAGTGTCTGCCAACATATCTTCTTTCTTACAGTTCCTAATGATCCATTTGTGCTTTTTCAGCCCTTCATGTTAAGAGAACCTCAGGTTGGAGCCCATATCCTGACTGCCTCCTTCCCGCATGGGCACCTATGTGGCATTAGGCTCCCTGGATCTGAATGGGTGACCTGGGGTGTGCTGGCCTAGGGGATCAGGAGCTAGTGGTCCAGCCCTGGCTCTGCTAACTGCCCTTGAGTGCCCTTGGCCATGGCCTCTTTTCTCTGGGGCTCCCCCAGCTGGCCAATGAGTTGGTGGCTTTCTCCTGTCAATGCCCTTGGAGTCTTGGCACACGAACCGGGCACCCTTACTTCCCTGGAACAGGTAACGAATCAAAAGTCCTTGAGGAGCAAAACAGTTTGTAGAGTTCTCTGGGCAGCTAAGCAGATGGTTGCCCTGTGACAGAGGAAGTGCTTTGATGGAGATGTAGGCCAGCCATTGTATGAAGCCAGAAAGACCTGTGGGGGACAACTGCAAAGAATAAAGGATGTTGGAGATGGAGTTTGAAGAAGAGTGGCTGGCCCGGCAGGAGCAGGTGCCCTGAGGCAGGTGAGCCAAGCAGAGGATGGTGCCACTGAGGAGCTGCGGGATACTGGAGGGAACAGCACCTGTGTAAGCTGCATTTGCTGGGGTTTGGTGAGGGAGGAGATGAGGGAGGACAAGTGAAGTCACATCCAATAGTGTTTCAGTTCAGCAGAAGGTAGAGCTTTCTACCAGCAAGGGCTGTCTCATCCAGAAAGCTAAGAATCTTCCAGGGGCAATGGGCACCACAGCCCAGAGGGCTGGGGCCAGAGGCCTCAACCATTGCCATCCTGTCTGGCGAGCCCTCCTCCTCGTGGATTCCAGTGCTTCCCTGTTTTGAAGCCACGGACCCCATGACGGAACAGTCAGTCACACACACAGACGGCGTGATGATGAGGCCTGGGAGCCCCACTCTGCCCTTGGCATGTCTCTCCTGGCCCCTTCCCCGACAGCTACTGGTCCCCCTCCACTCACTAGTTTTTATTAGGCCACGGTCCTCTTTCAGAAGCTGATGAAAGCCATGTGCCCTCTCATGCCAACACACACACACCTACACACACACACACACAATCCAAAGGCTGCATTGAATTTATGGAGTTCACAGACTTCCCAAGTCCCTATCCGAATGTCAGGTTGGCAACCTCTCTCTGCTTCAACCCAGTCTCATGGGCTGTGCCTTTCCCCATTCCTGGGACCATTTTCTTTTGTTGCACTGTGACTCCAGGATTACAAGACAGGGAGGTTTCCTGAGCACCCACTATGCTGTGGGGACAGTGGTTGCCTCTGTTCTTAAGAACTCCTGGCCTGGTGGGGGTGGGAAAAAGCACAAATAGGAAACACAAAATTAGGCACAGGTCAGGAGCCCCAGGGCTGGGAATCCAGAGAAAATAGGTGGTTTCCAATTGGGAGGATTAGGTTCGGCTTTTTAGGGGAAGGGAGTGGGCCACTCTGGACCTGGGACACAGTGGGGGGAGGACACAGCATGCAGTCATGACAGCCTGAGCAGGGGATGCATGACAGGGTGTGAACAGGAAACCATGATTCCATTTGGCTACAACACAGCAGGTGTGAAGCCCAGTGGAAGGAGCTGGTAACGTGGGCTGGGAGAAAATCGGGCCCCGCTTTAGTGTTTTTAGCAGAGGAGAGACAGGACACCCTGGGTGTACACATAGCAGCTGGATGGGAGGAGGGGCGAGAGTAAGCAGACAGATCAGGTCAGTTGTCCCAGGACACCTGACCTAGGAGCAGATGGGGTCAGGTGCTGAACTAGGTCAGTGTTGATAGGGAAGGGAAGGAAGAGGGACTGAATGAGATCATCCCAAAGGACACGCAGCACTTGGCAATAGGGCTTTTAGCTGTCTCCAGTCTGGGAGAGAATTGCCTTCGCTTGGCCCCAATTCTCCAGATGGGATGTGACATGAGGGACAGGCACAGGCCTGGGTCCACACTCCAGGATGCCATCTTAGGGCAGTGTGCTGCAAAGCCATCAGCTTTCAGGAAAGAAATGGGGGGGGGGGTGGCCCCCAGGCCCTGGGCCTGTGAGTAGGGCAAGTTCAGTCTTGCTGCGGCCAAGGGGAGGTTCTAGCTGGACTCAGTGACCTGTAGGAAGGCTCCTTCACTGGTCAGAAACCATCCGCAGGGCTTACGAAGAGAGTGCTGGCCCAAGCCCAGGGTCTCAGTTCAGTAGGTCCGGGGTGGGGCCCGATGGTTTTCAACAAGCTCTCAGGGGGTACTGAGATTGTGGTTTCCTGGTGGTTAGACTTTCTCCAAACGGGTGGGTCGAGATAGGTCTGGGTCAGGAATGCAGGGAAATACAAGGAGCGGTGGGGAGGGCGTTAGCTTGGCCAGCGGGGGGTTCAGGGTCTCTGTGCACAGCCTCATCGTTCGGATCTGAGCAGACACTGCTTCTGCAACTGTTCTGCCGTGATCGCCACCTCGGCTAGGCTTGCTTGCAGCCCTATGTCCCTCTCATAGCACCCTGCACTTTTCTTTTTTGGAACCTGTAGCAGTTTTGAATAATATATTGGTCTGTGGGCTGCGTGTTTTATTCACCACTGCAGGGCAGGGCAGGGCAGGGCCCAACGAATATGTGTGGTCTGAATGAGTGAACAGAGAGGGCAGAGAAGAGGTTCCATGAGGGACATCTTTGGTCTAGATGGCAGCTAGCATTTTCCTGAGCAAGTGGTTAGGTCGAAGCCGAGGGCAGTTTGGCCCTTGGTGCTCATCAGCAAGGTCTGCTGGCCTCACCCACTCCGGGCCCGACACCATCCTCCTACCAGCTTAGAGCTGCTCTGCAGCTTCATTCCAGCCTGAGTGGCCTCCTCCCTCCCTCTCACTCCCCACAGGAAATCAGGTGCTGAGCTCAGACTCCTTCCAGGCCATTTCTTGTAAGGCTTCATTTCTACCCCCGACGCTACTGCCCCCGCCCAACTCCATCATTGCGTGGGACTTTGTTGCCTCTTGTCTGAAGGCTCCACGTAAGAGCCATGATGGTTTCCTGGATTCTTGACCCCCACTGCCTAGGAGATAAAAGTACATCCCCTTCAGCTTTGCACCATCAGTCTGGCTGGCTTCCCACCCCAAACCAGGCTGGCATGTCTGTCCTTCACTGAATCTAAGACACCATTATATCTCATGGACCACTAAGAAACACAACGTGCTGCTAATTAAACTATGACATGCCACTGACTGTGACACTCTGACATCTTTAGCCTGAAATGCCAACTCCAACAGTAAGTTTGATTGCTTATCCATTCTTCAGGGTCCGACTCAAGGCATCATCTCCCCAACAGAAGCTGAATGTGTACCACCGCGTCTTAAGTGTGTGTATCATGTCCTGCCTGGCATTATAGCGGCTTGTGAACATATCTTAAGTCCATGATTCTAAGTGCCTTAGGGGCAAAGGCTGTCTTATTTATGTTTCTATCCCCCTGTCCCATCAGCAGAGGGCAGCACAGTGTCTCCTCATTCAGAGGAATTATCCTCTGTGCTACGCCCTTTGGAAACAGGCCTGAAGGGCTCTGAGGGTGAGCTGCAGGCAAGCAGCCCCTTTTCCCTGGCTTACTATCACCCAGCCCAGTGTCCCACATTAGGAGAGGAGCTGAACAGATCAAACAGCGTGCCACTGGGCTGGATCACTGCCTTGCCTCTAAAAACAACAGAACTCTGTTGATAAATGTTTTGTGAAAACAGTGCAAGCCTGGTGTGGTGGCGCACATTTGCTCTCAGGAGGCTGAGGTGGGAGGACTGCTTGAGCCCAAGAGTTCAAGGCTGCAGTGCTCGATGACTGGGCCTGTGATTAGCCAGTGCACTCTGGGCTGGGCAACAGAGACACACTCAGACTGTCTCTACAACGACAACAACAAAAAACAATGCAGGCAGGCACAGCAATGTACCTGAAAGAGAATGTGGAAGCATGTAAGGAGTTGAACAAGCAACAGAGACTGAATTAGTCATTTCAGCTTTCAGCTTTTGCTCTAAGCTTGCTGTTGGTATGAAATGTACATGTAAAGTCTCACCTGTGTGTTAACAACTTCTGCTTTTCTTCCAGGATATTTTGAAGATGCAGTCTCTTGCACAAAGTCTAGAGGCTTCACTCTAGTATTGGTCTGCATGGAAATGGTTCTCCATCACAACTGACAAATGCGTTGTAGCTTCCTACAGCTTCCTTGATTATGTATAAGGACACTGGAATGAAATGTATAACCCAGAAGAGGGGGCAAGGGAGGGGGTATGTAGAGAGACACAAAAAGACAGAGAACAAATCAGTAGAATATGAAGCTGCCTGCTTCAAGAAATCCAAATCCAATTCCATGAAGGAAGAAATATCTGTTTTTACTGCCTTCGTTGTCATGGAAGTAGCAGGGTGCGCTCTCTGCCTAGCAGGAGGAGTCACAGGCTCAGAGCAAACTCATTCGAAGGATGTTATTTCTTCACTCCACAGGGGAAGGAGTGACTGGCTGGGGAATGTGTCGAGAGAGCCCAGCCTCCAGCGTCCCTCACTTGACCCTCCGCAGGTGGCGAAAGCTCTGCACGGTCCTCTCCACAGCATCATCCATGGTCACTAGTGGCTGGTAGCCCATGGCCTTTTTGGCCCTCTCGCAGCTGTAGTAGTGGAATGTGCCAGCCAGTGCGACCCGCATGGGTGTGAAGGTGGGCTGCAGTTGGATGACAGGACTGACCACCATCACCAGCAGGGACAGCAGGAGGGCCAGGTAGTAGGCCACCCAGTACGGGATGTGATACTTGGGGGCCTCATAATTGAGGCCTGTCAGGATGTGAGACAGGAATGTCCAGAAAGGGATGGGCTCATCATTGGTGATGTGAAATGCCTGGTGGGAGAACAAGAACAAGAAGTTAGAAACACCACCCCCACCTGCCCAAAGTTGAGGCATCTATTAAGCCCATGCAGATTGCATCCTCACTGCCTAACTGCTGCAGCGTTCCATGTGGCCTGCCCTCAATTGCACAACTGCTAAGGCGTAGAAAGGGCAGATGATGAAAGTTTTATCTATGAGCCAGGATTTTAAGTGAAGCATAGATTGCACTTGGAAAGGCAGATTTGTTAATTCGATAAGTGTTAATCATCATAAAACTCATCTACATATCTTTGGATGCAATGAATTGCTCATATTACATTTCTTGACGGAGTTGTGCTTGTTTTGAATCAAAAGCCACACCCGGGCCAGGCATGGTGGCTCACGCCTGTAATCCCAGCACTTTGGGAGGCAGAGGCGGGCAGATCAGCTGAGGTCAGGAGTTTGAGACCAGCCTGGCCAACATGGTGAAACCTCATCTCCACTAAAAGTACAAAAAGTTAGCTGAGCATGGTGGCACAGGCCTGTAGTCCCAGCTACTCAGGAGGCTCAGGCACGAGAATCGCTTGAATCAGTAAGGCGAAGGTTGCAGTGAGCTGAGATTGCGCCACTGCACTCCAACCTGGGTGATAGAGTGAGATTGTCTCAAAAAAAAAAAAAAAAAAAAAAAAAAAAAAGCCACATCCCACGCCTACTCCCAACTTCTTTGAAAGTTATCAGTGGGAAAACGGTAGAGGTTCAGGAGAATAAAAGAGGACCAAAGAGCAAGGGAGGGAGAGACCTGAGGAATGAGTGGGAGAAAGGGTGAGGAGCAAGCACCCTGCCCAATCTACATGGGCTCCTGCCACGAGGAGCCATGCCAACAGGTGGGCAGCCAGGTCAGGGGGCCACAGAGGACTGTGTCCTGAATGTCTGTACAATCCCAGCTCATCAGCTCCCCAATTTTGGCTGCCCAAGTGATGTGATGCTGCAGTGACACCACATGCTCTATCAGAGGGGCTTGACCTTGGCACAGGGGGTCCTAATACAGATCCTCCACAATACAGGATCACAGGAGCAACTTGCCAGCAAATCCAGTGGCAAGGAGAAGAAACCCACAGAAAGGCACCCGTGCAGAGACGGGTGCAGCAGGCCTTACCTTCCCACCCAGTGTCAAGTCTCGGGAGAGTTGCTCTGCAGCCAGGATATGTCCATGGACCACGTTCTCCACAAAGGTGAAGTCCACCAAGTTCTTCCCATTTCTGCAGGTGCACAAGGGATGATGGAACACGTACTGGGAGCCCCTGCACGAAGGCCAGGGCTGCTCCCAAGTCTCAGCATTTGAGAGACTGTGACCTGCAGAATGGCTGCCACCTCACTTGGCAAGGCCAGTCCAGGCACTCATGGATGCCTGTACTGGTTAAAGATGTACACTGGGCCAGGACTCCTGGGTCTTCAGGGTTAGTGGAATCTGAAAGCTGGGGGACCTGCCCACCCATTCCAGCATGGCCAACACTGGTGCTGTCTCTCCTGTCCTGATTTGGGTCGCAGTTTTTCAGCCCCTTCCCAGGAGACATGGGGCCAACGCCTTGCTCTGGTCTCCCATTTACTGACCAGTCTCCTTGTAATCCTTCAAGGTGACAAGTCAGGGTAGCAGTGAGGCTGAGTGAGAAACAGGAAGGCAAGGCAGAGGGAAAAAGGAGGAAAGAGAGGAGAGAAGGAGGAAATGAAGGAAGAGAAGGCCTACTTGGGAGAGAGCCACACTGTTGTCCCCTGTGGAGGCCCCTCCACCTACGCTTTCCCCGAGGAGAAATGTAATGCCCCCCCACCTGCCTTCCGAGATGCAAGGAGAGTCAAGCCCTGGCCCTTGACCCTGGGCCCATTGTTTCCCCTCTGAGCCTCGGTTTCTTCAATTTCCAGACAGGGTCACAAATACCTTCCCAGCCTACCTGAGAGGGTACGTTGGATTGAACAGTATCCTCTCAAAGCTTCTGTCCACTTGGACCTTGTGAATGTGACCTTATTTGGAAATAAGGGCTCGGCAGATGCAATTAGTTAAGCTGAGCTCATACTGGAGTAGGGTGGGCTTTAAATCCAGGGAATGATGTCCTTATAAGAAGGAAATTTGGATACAGAAAGCAAGGAAGACAGCCATGTGAAAGAGAGGCAGAGGCAGGAGTGATGCCTCTCCAAGTACAGAATTCTAAGGATGGCCAGAAGCCAGCAGAAGCTAGGGCAGAGGCCTGGAACAGATGCTCCCTGTGAACCTCCAGAAGGCACTAGCCCTGCCAACATCTTAACTGTGGACTTCTGGCCTCCCAAACTGTGACAGAATCCATTTGTTGTTTTAAGCACTCACTTTGTGGCAAGTTGTTATGGCAACTACAAGAAATGAATACAGAGGACAGAAGACAAGGTCACTGCTATGGCCTGAATCTTTGTATCCCCGCAATATTCATTCCTATGTTGAAACTTCATCTCCAATGCAATGGTACTGTGAAGAGGGACCTTTAGGGGGTGATTAGGTCACGGGGGCTCTGCCCTCAGGAATGGGATTAGTGTTCTCATAAAAGAGGCCCAAGGGAGCCTGTTTCCCTCCCACCATGTGATGACATGGGGAAAAGGTGCCACTCATGAGGAACAGGGCCTCACAGGACACCCAATCTGGGAACGCCTTGATCTTGGACTTCCCAGCCTCCAACCTGTCTGTTGTTTGTTACCCAGTATTAGGTATTTTGTTACAGCAGCCTGCATGGACCAAGACAGTCACATAAGAAAAGAGCTACAATGCCACTTGGCTCCTACCAAGTGCTCTCTGAACGCGAGCACGGACCAGGAAGGACTAGGGAAGAGCCGCTGTGGGCTGACTCACCCAATCACGAACTTCATCTTGCCGTTTCTGGCTGTCTCGATTAGGGTGGGTACCAACTGTGGGTCCCTTGGGCCGAAAATGCCATGAGGGCGGATGGCTGTGGTTAAGAAATTCTTCTCAGGATCGTTGGCGCCCAGGACTGCCTGAAGGAGAGTGGGAGAAGGAGCACATTCATTGCAAATTCCTAGGCCCAAGCCAAGAGAGTGCCTCACCGGGTGAGAAGCACCACTCGTGGGGGACAGACAGATGACACACTCTGCTGGCATGTGGCCACCGAGCAGTGGTCTGCCTTGAGCTGACACCCTACATCAGTGGCTGGTATAATTCTGGGCTACCTCTCCACCCCACCCACCCTCACACCAAAATCTGAAAATGCAGGACAGACAGCCGGGCAAAAACCGGTAAGATCAAATCAGAAGGCCCCGGTTTGGGTTCAAAGGCTGAAATCCATCAACACTGCCAGAAGACATGCCTCGGCAGCAGTTTGTGGAAAAGATCTGAAGGTTCTGGTGAACAAGTTAGCCATGAGCCTCCAGTGCCTTGAACTGCACGTGCCGCCCACGTTTCCACCAGGCCAGGTCTGTTCCGGGCAATTCTGAGTACCACCTCCGAGGGGAGGGCTCTGAGAAACCCAAGTGGGCCCAGAAGAAGGTCAGAGAAGGTGAAGGGTCTGAAGACCATGCCTGGAGAGAAACAGGCCAGCAGCTGGGGGGCAAAGGAGGCCGAGACATGTCAAGTCCTCAGAGCAGTGCCTGGTCCAGAGCCAGTGCTCCTGTTGCCACTGTGAGGAAAGGGTGTCTTCTGTGTGACTTCATGGACAAACTAGAACTCAAGAGCCTAAAGTACAGAGAAATGGGTTTTGCCTCAAAAGTAACAAAACTTCCCGAAGGATTTGTTTTATTGCGGGTAAAAGTGGTGATCATAAAGGTACCTACCCTGATGGGGCTGCATGCGAATTACATAAGATGGCCTACGTCAGTTGTTTCAGTGCATGTCTGTATGCTTGGTAAGTATGGTTCCTGCTGTCATGTCACCTCAAATTTCTACTCTATGGTAGCAAAGTGCTGGTCTATGTTTTGGCCCCAGTGATCTTAAGCTACTCAACAATGGAAAAGCTGCCTCGTTTCAACAGATTCCCAGAGCTGGCCCTCCTCTTCCCGCCAGGCCTCTGGTCTCCACAGTGATGGAGGAAATGACTAAATAAGCCCTCAAATGGCCTCCACCAAGGCTCATCTCTACTACTAAAGGGAGGAGAGGTGGAGGAGTCTTAGCTCCCCATCACATTTGGTTTATGATCAGCAGGAAGGCTATAAAGCCAACAGTGGGTGTCAACCTTGGCTGAAAGGAGGCTCCAGGTGAGTTACTGCTAGAGTCATCTGAAGGCTTTGCTTATTTCCAGTTGAGAACCCCAAAGTTGATATAAGCGAGACACTGATGGTCTGGGCCAAGGCCATCATTTGAAGCTCTTGAGCCTAGGTGGGCTCAGCTCTGGTGGCAGTCAGTATCCGGCATGTTGGGTTGAGAATGCACAGGGTCTCCATGGTGACTGAACTGCCTGCAAGGCGCAGAGAGGCTTTAGTACTCCTCGGGCCAAGTTCGAGCACATGGGTGCTCCAAGGAGCGAGATAGCATAGTCTGGAGCCAGGACTGTGGCTTGCCAAAGGTCAAGCCTCCACCCCTGGTCTGGGTGGCCCTTGTGTCTCCCTGTGGACCAGTTCTGCCAGGACTTTCTGAGCTGAAGCAACAGCAAACAGGCTGGGCACAGTGGCTCATGCCTGTAATCCCAGCACTTTGAGAGGCCAAGGTGGGCAGATCATGAGGTCAGGAGTTCGAGACCATTTGACCAAACATGGTGAAACCTCATCTCTACTAAAAATACAAAAATTAGCTGGGCGTGGTGGCAGGTGCCTGTAATCCCGGCTACTCAGGAGGCTGAGGCAGGAGAATTGCTTGAACCTGGGAGGTAGAGGTTGCAGTGAGCCAAGATCATGCCACTGCACTCCAGCCTGGGCGACAGAGTGAGACTCCATCTCAAAAAAAAAAATATATATATATATATACAGCAAACAGCCGGGAGGCAGCTGGCTCTCAGGTAGCCAGGTCAGTGTTCAGCTCCAGTTCAGTATGTACTGGCTTTGAAAGAAATCCTCAGTGGATGTGATACACTGCACACACACCTGGGAGGGGTATACTCACAGCTACCCAGCTAAGGTGAGCTATCCCAGGCTCAGGAGCACTCCTGGCCTGCAGCTTAGGATGGCCTCAGGGTGACAATCCCCATCTGTAGCTAGCAGTTGTCAGGGGCCCCACAGCCCCGGCAGCCTGAAGGCTTGGTAGCGACTGCGGCTGAATCCAACCACACTAAAATCAGGTGCCCTTTGATGAAGCTGTTTTGCCAAGTGGAAAAGTACTTTTCCTTAAAATAAAGCAAGATCCTTCCGTTGTTTGTTTTTCTAAGTCAGGGAGGGGGCGAGAAGTGCCACTAGGAAGGTGCCTCCAGCCTGATTCCTGTCTGCACACTTGCAACTGCTGTAAATTCCCATAGCAAGGGAGGAAGCTCCCATGGCATTGAGGGTGGAGTGCAGGCTCTGGAGACAGACTGCCTGGAGTCAGCCACCTCCTAGCTGCACAGCTTTAGAAAGGTTCTGAGTCTCTCTGTGCACCACAGTCCTCATCTGTAATCTGGTGATGATGGGATAACTGTGACCTTTAAACAAGGAAAATACTCCTGGAAAACACTCAGAACACAGTGTTTTCTGTTCTCATAGTATTTTTTTTTTTTTTTTTGGAGACAAGAGTCTCTCTCTCTATCCCCCAGGCTAGAGTGCAATGGCACAATTTCGGCTCACTGCAACCTCTGCCTCCCAGGTTCAAGCGATTCTCATACCTCAGCCTCCCACGTGGCTGGGATTACAGGTGCCTGCCACCATGCTGGGCTAATTTTTGTATTTTTAGTAGACATGGGGTTTTGCCATGTTGGCCAGGCTGGTCTCGAACTCCTGACCTCAGGTGATCCGCCCACCTCAGCCTCTCAAAGTGCTGGGATCATAGGCTTGAGCCACCATGCCCGGCCTCTCACAGTATTTTTAAATTTAATTTCATCCACAAATTTTACATCTCAAGTCAGGTACGTAGGCCTCAGAATATGAACTTCATAAGTTCATAAACATTTTTCTTAGGATTCTAAACCCTTCAGTCTGCTCACTCAACCAGTTCCAAGGTACATACCTTCTCCTGTAAGATCTTAGTCTCTGTGTAGTAGTCAATGGGTTTCATGGCATAGGGAAGGTCTTCAGTTCCATTCTTGATATCGACGCCCTCAAAGATGACACTGGCACTGCTGGTTAAAATGAGTTTCTGACAGAGGAAGGTTAGAAAAAATAAAAGTCACAAATTATCATGATTCAAACAGTGCGATGATCCTATATGAAAGAGAATCAAGGGGCATCCCTTCGCTGCCCTCGCATTCGAGGCACTGCAGAAATTATTTGCTGCAATGCCTTTGCTTTTCAGGCCTTCTTAAAATAATCCAAAGATCACCATCTTCTGCAGCTATGTGGATTCCAGACACACTATGGTATTACATTCTAACCAAGAATCAAGAGATCTTGGTTCCAAAACAAGGGATAACACATTTTTTTTCTATCCCATCACACCTGAGAGATAGAACAGACTTTCATTCATGGTACCTCACTATGACAGTGACTCTCTGTAAGCGAAGGGCAGCCCACAAACTTCTAGGAAGATGTCTCTTTGAAAAAGATCACTGGCTATTCTGATAGTGACCTGGCCACGTGAACACACATAGGAATACACACACCACACGACCTCTTAAATGCTATTCTAAAGGAAGATGCTCTCTTATGAGGGTCCCCAGCATCCAGCCTGCTGGTTAAGAGCAGTTCATCCAACACCGGACACCATTAGCATGAATCATATCGTTCCCACTCTTATTCAACATTGTATGGGAAGCTCTAGCCAGAGTGGTAGAGTAAGATAAACAAGAATTTATAATGATTTGAAAAGAAACTGAACTTCCATCACTTGCAGATGAGAGAAAAATCTACACAGAAAACAGGCAAATATGTAGAAAATATTAGAGTTCGGCAAAGTTGCTGAATTAAAAAATCAATATACAAAAATTAACTAGTCTTATATATTAGCAGTAATTGGAAATGTAATATAAAGTTATTAAATAACAAAAAATGAAGTACATACAAATAAATTTAACGAGATATGCAAAATCTTTACAAAGTAAAGTATAAAACTCTATTGAAGACATTAAAGAGCAAGATAAACAGAAAAATATCCCATATTTATGGACAGCAACACTCGATATGGGAAAGATGTCAATTCTCTCCAAAATTACCTACATGTTCAATGCAATTACAATAGCAGTCTCAGCTGGCTTTAGCAAGGAACTGGTTAAGCCAAATATATGTAGAAGAACAAAGGGCTCAGAATAGCCAAGTAAAGTTTGAAGAAATTGGTTAGGGGGGTGATTTATCTACCGTACACTGAGACTTATCCTAAAAAGGCAGAGCCTCTCTGCATGGGCAGACAGGGAGATCAATGGGGCAGAGGGGAGAGCCTGGGAACAGGCCCATGGAAGACACAAACACCTAAGACATGCTGCAGATGGTGTGCAGCAATGCAGAAAGACGGATTATGCAATAAATGGCACTGAACTGGTTATACACATGGAAAAAAGTTAGATCTCTATCTCACACCATATGCAAACATAAATTCCTGGTGGATTAAAGACTTAAATGTGGAAAGCAACACTTAAAACCTTTGAGAAAAAAGTACATTAAATAATCTTTTGATCTCAGTGTTGGAAAATGTTCCTTCAGTACAACACAGCAATCGCTTTCTGCACTCTTACATACGAAGCCACTCTGCCCCTTCAGTAAATGAACCAGTTACATATGCCAAGATGAATAAAGAAAAACATAACACTGGAGAAAAAAGCAAGTTGCAGGAGGATCTGTTCAATAAGATATCATTTTATAAAATCTTATAACATGCAATCCAATACCTTATATTGGTTACACATGGAGCAAACGGAAATAAATCCAAATTCAGAATTGCTACCCATGGCTAAAAGAGGAGAGCAATGGCATCGAGGATGGGCACACATTACACACACCAGTAATGTTGTTACTTAAATACTGTGGTGAGTGGAGAGGTGCTGTTTTATTCTCAAATCCTGTTTATTTTATTTATTTATTTTTAAGAGACAAGGTCTTGCTCTGTTGCCTAGGCTGGGGTGTAGTGTTGGGATCATAGCTCACTGCAGCCTGAAAATCCTGGGCTCAAGTGATCCTCCTGCCTCAGCGTCCCGAAACAGTTGAGGCTACAGGTGCATACCACCACACCTGGCTTTTGAAATTTTTTGGAGAGGTGGGGCATTGCTATGTTGCTCAGGCTGGTCTTGAACTCCTGCGCTCAAGTGATCTTCCTGCCTTGGCCTCCCAAAGCGCTGAGATTACATGTGTGAGCTGCCACACCTGGGGCGCAAATCTTTTTTGTATGCCAAGAACCTTCCATTTAACAAAGAGCAGCAGGGCCCCTCCCAGGGCTCCAGTTACATCAGCATGACAGAGTGCAGAGTCTGGGACTTGGAGAATCCACTTTGACCCCACCTCTCCCATTTACTGGCAAAGAGACATCGTTTAGCCCCTGGTTACCTACGGAGGAGCTAATTAGGTGATAACTGCAGCAGGGCAAAGCATCTTGTCAACTGCTAGGGGTCAGTTATAACTGATTTTTTCCAGGGTTCAAGCCCAGAAGAGCTCCAACCCTGCTGGGCTGGTTGAGGATGCTGGGCATGCTGGGGACCAGCCAACAGTGCCAGGAGAGGTTGCTGGGAGAGGAACCCCCTGGCTTGCTTCAATCTTTTCTCTTAATTTATGCAGTACCTGTGGCATGCGTCGCTGTGAAGGACAGGATGCTGAGCTGACAGGGAACTCTTTTAGCCAGTGGCTGGAGTCCTATAAAGACAATTCTAAGAACCAGGATTGGTAACAATGCAGCAAGCTTCAATGGGTAGAAATTTGTATCCCCTCAGGCCTGAGTTATAACAGATTTCATTGGCTAAGGGTAAACACAGTTTGCTTTTCTTTTAAAATATAAGTAAGGTCTGGAAAACAATGTGGTGGTTCCTCAAAAGGTTAAACATAGAACTAGTATATGATCTAGCAACCCTACTTCTGGGTATATGCTCAAAAGAATTGAAAACAGGGACTTGAACAGATATTTGTACGCTTGTGATCATAGCACTAATGTTTACAATTGCCAAAAGGTGAAGACAACACAGATATCCATTGATGGCTGAATGAATAAACAAAATGTGGTCCATCCATACAATGAAATATTATTCTGCCTTAAAAAGGAAGGACATTCCAACACATGCTACAACATGGATGACCCCTGAGGACATCATGCTCGGTGAAATAAGCCAGACACAAAAGGACAAATACTATGAGTCCACTTCTGTGAGGTCCCTATAGTTGTCAAACCCACAGAGACAGAAAGTAGAAGGTTGGTTGCCAGGGGCTGGGTGGGGAAGGGAGATTGGGGAGTTGCTGTTTAATGGGTATAGAGTTTTTATTAGGGAAGAACAAAAAGGTTTAGAGATGGATGGTGGTAATGGCTGTACAACATTGTGAGTATGCTTAATGCCATTGAACTCTGCACTTAAAAATGGTTAGGATGGTAAATTGTATGTGATATATATTTTATCACAATAAAAATATAAGCAATGTCTAAGTTCTGCAGCTCTTTAACTGAAGGCTAATAGCCTTGAGGTCCTCAGATGTTCTATTTGTGTGCAGTTAGAATATTACATCTCAAATCGGCCTTGGCAAGCAGACCTTCATGATCCCCAGTGACTCCAAGGTAATTTCTAAGATCTTCCCAACACTTGAAGAAGCAACCCAGCCTAGGCCCAGGGAGACTGCAATAACTACGACCTTACACCCTTAGAAAGGGCTATCACACGCTCCTGACAGCACTCACTCGTTTTCCCCTTACCTGAACCCCAGCCTCTTTGCAAGTTTCAATGACATTCTTGGTGCCAAAGTAATTCACTCTATAAAAGAGTTCCTTGTTGTTACTGGATGCTGGGGGTGATGCACAGTGGAAAACTGTGTTTACACCTTTCAGAGCTGGGTACAGATCCTGGAAAAGCAAACAAAGACAAAATAATCATTCCTGTTTGGACAGGTCAATGGCATTCCCACGTTTTCACTCTCCAACCTGTGGCTTGTAGGTTCCTTGTCTCATAATTCTATAATCAATATGGAAATACATTCTCATAAAAGAATCAATGATACTGAAGTACATGGGATGGAAACCAAGTTGTCCCTTTAATCACCTTCTCCCTACTAACTAGACCCCAATCAAAAGGGGTTTGGGGCATGAGAAGCCTGTGGGATCCACACAGAGGCAACACCCTTTTGGGTGGTTCAGGGCAGGCACCTAGCGGGTAAAACTCCCCAGGAAAGTGAACTCAGATAGAAATTATGAATCATATGAAAAAGTTCCACACCATTAAAGACAGTAAATAGCCAATAAACAGGCATATTCCTTCCTGTGAAACTAGACACGATACGGCAACCTGAAAGGGATTTTTAAAACAGGTCTGTTTGATTTACTGCTAAAAGGAACAAGAGCTCCTGAGAGAAATGGCTGATTGCAGATCTGGGACAGGAAATACACAAGATGAACCAGGCACACCTTGTACCAGAGAGTGAGGATGCTAGCTAGCTAATACTACTGGGGTCATGTTAAAAGCACTCAAGTGCCAACCTGAAGAGGTTCCCACTGGGCAAAAAATGGACAGCTTGACCACAAGTAAGAATAAAAATTCTTTCTGAAACTGGTAAATAAAGGGAAAGAACCAAATATTTATTCTGCATAAGGTATAAAGATTAGAGCTACTAAATGAAGACTAATAGCATGTCACCATTTTGTCAAACCTTAATTAATAGGATCTAAGTATGATTCATGCTTGTCACCAAAAGACAATTATCACATGTGCCAATTAATATTTTGCCACAATTCCCTCTCTCTACATACACACAATCATATATTTTTCTTGAAATGAGTCAAGTAAGTTGCAGGCATCATGCTGCCTCTAAATGCTTCACCAGGTATCTCCTAAGAACAAAAGCATTCTCCTAAATAACCATAAAACAATGATCACACTCGAGAAACTTAACATGATATGATATTCTTATCCAATAATTAGTCTGTATTCAAATTCCCCCAATTGTCCCAATAATCTCTTTTATAGCCTTTTGGGGTCCAGGATCCAATTGTGCATGACATGTAGTATTTAGTCCTCATGTCTCTTCCATCTCTTTTAATCTGAAACAAATTCCCATCTTTTCTGTCTTATTTTAATGCTGCCATTTTTCAAGGGTTCGGGTTGGTTATTTTATAGACTGTCCTTCAGTTTGGATTAGTCTGTTTCCTCAAAATTAGATTCAGGTTTAATGGTTTTGGTAAGAATACCACATCAGAGGTGGTGTGTCCTTCTCAGGGAATTACCTCAGGAGGTGGAAGTTTGTCCCACTCTTGGTGATATTAAGTTGGAGCACGTGGTGATGACGATGGCTGACAGATTCCAGCCATCGAAAAGGTACCTTTTCCCTTGCATTGATAAGTAAACTGCAGCATGTTAATTCTACCAATTAACCTCATTATTTATTGATAGTCCCTGCCTGGAACAATAATCATTATACTGAGTATAAAATGGTGACATTCTGGCCGGGCGCGGTGGCTCAAACCTGTAATCCCAGCACTCTGGGAGGCCGAGACGGGCGGATCACGAGGTCAGGAGATCGAGACCATCCTGGCTAACACGGTGAAACCCCGTCTCTACTAAAAAAAATACAAAAAAAAAAAACAAAACAAAACAACAAAAAACTAGCCGGGCATGGTGGTGGGTGCCTGTAGTCCCAGCTACTCAGGAGGCTGAGGCAGGAGAATGGCGTAAACCCGGGAGGCGGAGCTTGCAGTGAGCTGAGATCTTGCCACTGCACTCCAGCCTGGGCGACAGAGTGAGACTCCGTCTCAAAAAAAAAAAAAAAAAAAAGGTGACATTCTAAGTCTAGCCGTCCAGCCTTTTAATTCATGGCCTTTATAGTTATTAGTTGGCATTCCTCTGTAGAGCTTCCCCTTCTCCCTGATCCCAATTGTTCTTTTCAGTATTTCTATAGACCCATGGATTCTTTTTTATTTTATTTTTTTTGAGACATTGTCTTGCTCTGTCGGCAAGACTGGAGTGCACTGGTACGACCTTGGCTCACTGCAACCTCCACCTCCCAGGCTCAAGCAATTCTCCTGCCTCAGTCTCACAAGTAGGTGGGATTACGGGCGTATGCCACCACGCCCGGATTTTTTGTATTTTAGTAGAGATGGGGTTTCACCGTGTTGGCCAGGCTGGTCTCGAACTTCTGACCTCAGGTGATCTGCCCGCCTCGGCCTCCCAAAGTGCTGGGATTGCAGGCGTGAGCCCTGCACCCGGCCCATGGATTCTTTTTGAAATCAAAATGCATTGTCATCCACTACTGTTATGTTTTGTGAGGCTCAAACGCTCAAAATGTCCCAAATTTGGCCAGTGGAAGCCCTTCAAGTTGGCACTTATATCTTCTTGACATGTTCTCATTCATTTTGTGCTAAGAAAATGTCCCAGACTCATTTTGTACTGCCCTTGCCCTAGGGTCCTAGAATGAGAAATTTTCCCAAGAAGCCCTAGTTCCTTTTATGGGAAATGGTATACAGAAACCCAAATCTGAGCACCAGGCATGCTTATTAGTATTGGAGTATCAGAAGTAATAATACCCCAGAGGGAAAAACTGAACCAGAGTCCGATCAAATCTTTAGCCCAGTAGAAACATAATAAAAGTCACAGTGACTTTAAAGTTTGGAGTAAGTAAAAAGAAAAAGGTGAAATTAACTTTAATGAGATAGTTACATTCCTTTTTTCTGTACATGGTTTTTGAAATCTGGTGTGGACTTTACGCTTACAGTGCCTCTCAATTCTGACTCGCCACATTTTAAGTGCCCCACAGTTGCATGTGGCTAATGGCTGCCTTAATGGACAGCGCCATCCCAGATCTACCAGTATACAGAAAATACTGGAGGACAGAAGGGCATGTTAAATGCAATGGGGATGTAATCAGCAAAACCCAGACTGTGGGAAGTACTACAGCACCATAAACATGGTTTCTACTAAACATCAGTTATTCAATAAATAGACTGAAGTTTAAAAAGATGAAGGGAATTGTAAATTAAAAGAGAGCTATATATTTCAATCAAATCCATAGTACTGACCTTGCTTGGTTCCTTATTTGGAAAAACAATAATATAAAAACATTTATAAGACATTCAGGGATATCTGAATACTGGCTAGATACTAAGGAACTACTGTCAATGTTTTAAAAAATAATCCTTATTTTTTAGGGACAAATACTGAAATATTTACAGATAAAATGATATGATGTCTACGATTGACTTCAACATAATCTGAGGGGGAATACAGGTGAAACATGATTGGCCATGAGCAGATGAGGAGAGGAGGAAATCTCCAATGAAATAATACAAAAAGAGAAAGAGAAGGAATGCAAGAAAGAGAGGATAAGAGACAGATAATACAATGAAAGACCACCATATGTCCAGCACGGCTTCCAGAAAGAGAGAAAAGAGAGAAGAGGGGTACAGTTAATCTTTGAAGAATTTTCCAGAAATGAGGAAAGACATTCATCTTCAGACTGCAAAGGCCTACCAGGTGTTGAGTAAGATTTGAAATCAAAACTAAAACTCAGGCCCTGATATATTCTCTATAGACAATAAATGATAAAAAATAAAATCCTAAAAGCCATGAGAGGGAAAGCCAGACAACCTACAAAGGAACAACGACCAGCTTGAGAGTAGACTTCCTGTCAGCAACAGAAGATGCACAAGACCGGGGTGACTTTAAAAAGTGTTACGAGCCGGGCATGGTGGCAATGGTGGCTCACGCCTGTAATCCCAGCACTTTGGGAGGCCAAGGCGGGCAGATCACCTGATATGAGGAGTTCAAGACCAGCCTGGCCAACATGGTGAAACCCTGTCTCTACTAAGAATATAAAAATTAGCCGTGAGTGGTGGCGGGGGCCTGTAATCTCAGCTATTTGGGAGGCTGAGGCAGAATTTCTTGAACCCAGGAGGCAGAGTTTGCAGTGAGCCAAGATTGAGCCACTGCACTCTAGCCTGGGCGACAGAGCGAGACTCCGCCTCAAAAAAAAAAAAAAGGGGGGGGGGTTATGTAATACATACTGTGTATATAAAACTATACAACTATATATACATAAACTTCATCTATATGTATGTACATCTGTCTCTCTCCACTGACTATAAAAACACATTTTTTTAAAAAAAGAAATGGGGGTCTTGTTATGTTGTCCAGGCTAGTCTTGAACTCCTGGCCTCAAGTGATCCTCCCACCTTGGCCTTCCAAATAGCTGGGGGACTACAAGTGCATACCACCACACCCAGGTGAAAGTACATTTTAAAAGTCCTTCCCAGTCGGGCGCAGTGGCTCATGCCTGTAATCCCAGCACTTTGGGAGGCCCAGGCGGGTGGATCACCTGATATCAGGAGTTCAAGACCAGCCTGGCCAACATGGAGAAACCCTGTCTTTACTAAAAATACAAAAATTAGCTGGGCGTAGTGTTGGGCACCTGTAATCCCAGCTATTAAGGAGGCTGAGGCAGGAGAATCGCTTGAACCTGGGAGGCGGAGGTTACAGTGAGCTTAAATTGTGCCGCAGTCTGGGTAACAGAGCAAGACTCCGTCTAAAAAAATAAAAATAAAATAAGTCCTTTCCTCCCATGTCTTTCACCCACATCACATCCACCTTGGACTTAGCTTAGATTTCATGCTCCACCTGTACCACCTTTGCCTCGTTCCCCTCTCCCTTTATTAAATTTGTCTAGCAAGCTCCAACCCTGGTTAAATGCAACTTGCCCCTTCTCCATGCTGGCAGTTGAGCAGCTGAGTGTAGCTGGAGAACAACATGGCATGCTGGAGGGTCTCCCTTAAAATGTGTACGCAAGGAAAGCTGGAAATAATATACTAGCAACAACAGCATGGCAGCTGGGGAGCCTTTTGGAGAGAAGTTAAAGCTTGCTAAGGATTCTCATCTCCTTTGAGGGGACAAAGCAGTGATCAAAAAACAAAATTCCTGCTTTCGTGGAGCTTACATTCTATGGTAGAGAGGACACATTTCAGAGATCTCCTCTGCTCTGTATCCGCTCATGGTCAATCATGTTTTCATCAGGACAAATAAGCAAATAAACAAGTAAATCTAGAGGATGTCCGTACTGGCAGGTGTTATGCAGAAACTAGAGTACAGTAAGGGAGACCAGCGGGGGCTTGTTCCTTAGCACAGAGTGGTTGGAGATTTACAGGAAGTTAGGGAGCAAGTTCTGTGGTTCAGGAAGCGCATTCCTGACAGAAAGGACACCAAGTGCAAAGGTCCTGAGGCAGAAACTTGGCTGGTGGTCAGTGTGCCTGGGGCAGAGCATGAGGCGGGTGTGGGAGGAAGTGGGCCGGACAGGTAGTAGGGACGTGCGGTGCAGGGCCTCATGGGTGATTACAGAGGCCTTTGTTTGCTCGACACAGGACTGGACGCCACTGGAGGCTTTTGTACAGAGGGTGGTGTGATCTGATTTATCCATTCAGAGTCCCTCTAACATCTAGGTGAGAGAGTGATGGTGGCTTGCACCAGGGTGGCAGCAACGGAAGGGGTGAGAAGTTGCTGGATTGGGGATCTATGCTGAGTGGAGTCAACAAGATTTCCTGATGGATGGGATGAAGGGCATGAGAGAGAAAGGAATCAGGCAGGGATGAATCTAAGCTTTTTGGTTGATGGAACTAGAAAAGCAGAGTAGGCCGTTTATGGAGATGGAGAAGACTTAGCAGAAGTAGTTTTGCTGTGGTAGGGGAGAGGCTTGCATCAGGGAACCAGGAGCTTAATTTTGGATGTAGCAAGCTTGAAGTGTCCATGAGGTATCCAAGCAGGGATGTCCAGCAGGCAGCTAGAGATATATACACACACACACACACACACACACACACACACACACATACATATATATACATATACACACACACATATACACACACATATACACACACATATACACATACATATATATACACATATGTATACGTATACACACATATACACATACATATATACATATATACACATATATACATATATATACACACACATATACATACACACATACACACACGCCTGAGAGAGCTAGGGGTTGGAGATAACAAGCAGGGAGCCCATCAGCTTCTAGACAGTAATTAATCCATGAGATGGGATGGAGTCACTGGGACACCGTCTAAACTTGGAGAAGAAAAGAGAGTAAGTCCTGGAGCCTGCAAAGTTTAAAAATGACAGTGATCAGCAGACAATCAGTGAGGCAGGAGGAGAAATGAGTGAGGTGGCGTCTTAGAAGGCAAGCAAAGAAAGCATCAGATGCTGCTAAAGGGTCAAGTCAGAGGAGGTCTGAGATTCAACTACCGGATACGGCTGCCTCAAGGTCCCTGGAGGCAGTGACTGGGTAGGGAAGAGGAGGTGGCTTCTGGCTGGCACCAGGATGGGTGTTTTGGTGGGGATGAGGCATCCTCGGGAACAGCAGGGGAGGCTGAGTGGAGACATGGACGTGGGCAGGTTTGTGGAGATGGTGGTGCTCGGTGGTACCAAGGGTCTGCTTGAGGCCCATGGCCATGCACAAGGCAAGATTTAACCAGGCTGGGGGTTACAATGTGAAGTACACTGTGGTGGCCACATTTATTTGCCACCTGGGCCAGGCTCTAGTCCCCGGTGACTCCATTAAACACGAGTGTAGGTGTTTCTATAGAGGTATTTTGTAGCTGTGGTTGACATCTACAACCAGCTGACTTTAATTAAGGAGATTACCCTTGATACTCTGGACAGGCAGTATATACTCAGTTCAAAGACCTTAAAAGTGAAACTGAGGTTTCTGTAAGAAGAAACTCTAGTGTGGGACCACAGCGTCAATTCCTGCCTGACTTTCGGGTCTGCCCTACAAATTTCAGACTTGCCCAGTCAGCCCCCACAATCATGTAAACCAATTCCGTGAATTAAATCTCAATCTCGCTTTCTCCCTCACCCACCCATCTCTCTCCCTGCCCTTCTCCACACATCCCCCTGCTGGTTGTTTCTCTGGAGAAACTTTATGGATACATACAACCAAAAGAGAAAGGGGAAGAGGGTGAAGACTATGCAAGTGAACAAGTGGACCAGGGAACTAAAGGCAGTGAGGCACGAATAGGCTGAGCCATAGTGGGCATGGCTGGATGTCTGCGTGGGGTTAAGGAATCGGGACAGCTGAGGCACTAGAGGGCATGAGCTTGACAGAGAGGAGCTGGAGTAGAACGACAGAGTAGAATGCCTGCAAGTGAGATGGAGAGGACATGCTTACTGGTGATGACAGGGGAGTGGAGGGCAACATCACTGGGTGAGAGGAGGCCAAGGATGAGGGAGGCGAGGGCACTGGTAGGGTCATCTACACGAACACTGAATTCACCAATAATAATGCCAAAAAGGAACTGAAACCACTGAGAAATGAAGTGGAGTCACGGGAAGGGGAGCAGGTGGCTGTGGGTGGCCACCATAAGGAAGGAAGGGTGTCGGGGTTTGCATAGTCTGAGGGTATCCTCTTCAAAGCTGGAGAGGCTTAGAGCAGCATGAGGGAGAATGGTTCGGAGGCAGCAATGATGAGCATGGAAGATATCTACCCCATCTCCAGGCCTGGAGGTATGAGCAGCATGGGAGAGAAAACAACCATAACTTTGCAGTGGAAGCAATGGCCTTAATATTTCATCAACAAAAATCATATGGCGAATGACACCAAATCCAAGAATAAGGACCCGGTGACAGGCTGAGGGAAGCCATCCATAATAAGTACAATGGGCACAGGATTGGCATCCCAACTAGATCAACAGGGATGAAAAGGTAACCCCAAAGACAAAGGGGCAAATGACACAGACAAACATTTCACACAGGAGGAAGCCTGAAAGCCGATCACCCAGTGGCAGAGTGGCTGGTTACTTGGTCAGGGAGGACATGTGACTCTGAACATCAGTGAAGCACCACTTCATACTTCTCAGAATGGCAACACCAAAAAGTCAGTTATGCCCAGTGTTGGCAAGGATGTGGAGCAATGGGGCTTCTGCCACACTGCGGATGTGGAGGTAAAATTGACATAGCAGCTTTGTTGAGCCATTTGGCACCATCTAATAAAATTCAAGATATTCATACCTGTACAACATGGATGAAGCTTGAAAACATCATGCAAAGTGAAAAAAGTTACGCACAAAAGTACAAATATTACATGATTCCGTTTATATGAAATGTCCAGAAGAGGCCAATCCATAGAGATGGGAAGCAGATGAGTGGCTGCCAGGGGTTGGGAGGGTAAGAGAGGGAATGGCTACAAGATTTCATTTTGGGGTAATAAAAAATATTCTGGAGTTAGATCGTGGGAGACGGTTGCACAGCTTTGTGGATGTACTAAAAATCACTGAATTGCACACTTTTAAAATGTGAAATTTGTGGTACATGAATTATATCTCAATTAAAAGAATCAAGACCCTGTGGCCCAGCACTCACACTTGTTTTGCAGTTGGAACAATACAGCCCATGGATGGCTTTTGAAGTCAAGTTTCCGTGGCACACAGCCACATCTATTTGTTCACTTAAGTGCTGACCATAGCTGCTTTTGTGCTACCAGGAGAGAGCTGAGTAGCTGTGACAGAGATGATGGTTATTCATTCTAAGTAGTAAGAATGTGGTGTACTTTCCTATAACTTTGAAAATGTTCACAATGAAACAACTGTTTTTCAAACAAATTGGCTGGCCTCTGAGCAAGGGAAGTATCGTGGTTTCCCTTCGTGGGCTTGTGGGAAATCAGCAAGGCTGCATGGTCCATTACCTGCCGGCTGCAGAGGTCACCCAGAAAGAATTGCACCTGGGGATTATCAAACCCTTGCTGGATATCAAATACATTGACAGCATATCCTCTTGCCAGCAACTGCTCCACCATGTGCTGCCCCAGGAATCCAGAGCCCCCGATCACTGTGCATTTCTTGACCTGTTGAAAGAGAGGAAAGGTGGGGAAGACCAGCGTAGTGAGAACTGGAAGCTATACAGAGTCCAGACTTACATATCATGAGCCACTGCAATGGCAGATATACTTGTTTGTTTGGACTCTTCCTGAGCCAACATGGAAGCTTTATATCATCCTGGTGTTCCATCACTAGTGCAACCTTCTCTCCGGGGATCAGTAAGGAGGGAAGAGAGACAGCAAATGACACTGAGATTGACTTTGGTTGGGTTTGATGACAAGATCCATGCTTTGTATTTAGTGAAAGGAAATCAAACCACCTATGACCAAAACTGGACAATCTAAAAAATACCAAAGAAAAAAGAAAACCCCCCAAAAAACAGTGATACCTTCTTGTTCCCGATAGCTGATGCCTGGGCGCTTCTCTAAGGACAAAAACAAAACAAAACAAAAAGGCAGCCATTTGGCAGCAGATAGCTTGCACTGAAAACATCAGAAAGAAGAAAGCAGTCTCCATTCTCACAGGACAAAGTCAGTCCCTTTTCCTCTTTGGCCACAGCAGGGCTGGGCTGTGTGGCTCTGGGCTCATTGCCCAACCCCTTCTTGCCTCAGCCTAGAAATCTAAGACCGCCTTGATGGGATCTCCTGGTGGGGCTGCAGTGAGGATGGATGAGCCCAGGGCTCTGCTTTCCCTCCTCCGAACTGCAAGGAAGTTGAAGAAATGGGGAGAGCCGTGGTGTTTATGTCTCAGCCTCCACAACATGCACGATTCCTTGGGTAATTCCAACTCTGGTGACTGGGCATAATGAAAGGACAGAATAGCACATGCAGGCACTTAAATACCCTCACTCCAGGATGTCAATGCCAAACTGTGGCTGCTGCACACCAGACAAGCTGGCTACGGGTGTCCGTAAGGAGGACCTGTGATATCCCTCCTCCCTAGGGTCTTTCTAAAACTGTATCTGGGCCTCCTTAAGATGACAACCTCTGATTTCCTTAGCTCATATACAGTAAATCCAACTTGGGTTTGTGGAAATGAAAGATCTTAAAGAAATTATGTTCTAGATTTAAAAAACAAACAAATCTCCTTACTTATTTCTTAAACATCAACACAACTGAGCTATGACAGAGACTCAAGGGATGCCAGGGCCAGACATCCTCTCCAGATCTACCTCTCTCCCAGTTGGGGTGTCTCATCTGAAATGGCACTCATACCGGATTCCACTAGGCCCACCTGGAGCTGGCACTGTACTTTACCTCCATTTGTCCATGTGCAATCTACTAACAAAATCGGCCTCACCATTCTTCTACCACCCAAAACTAACTTCCCAACCTGTTTTTTTCTAGGTTTTATTCTGATTATTCCTAAACACATGTAATCATACCAGGTTACATGAGTTGCACCTTGACTGAGATGTATATTTCCTCAAGTCATAGGCAAATTAAATACAAAACTCACATCAATCCCTTTTCTAACAATCCCTTTCTTCTTCCCTCCTTGCAAGTCAGCTGTACAGGCAAACTGTAGCTATTTAGAATAATTCTGAGCTGCCTGTTTCCCAACCTGGGTTTCTGCAGTTTACTAAAAGTCTGGCTGAGCCCAAAGACAGTCGGAAGCATCCTGAAGGATTTCAGACTGCCTTGTTTATTTCATTTGGCATCTCTAGTTACAGGTGTTTCAAAAGGTTGCTAATCTTTTCAAAAACAAATAACCTTGCTGTTATGTCCAGTGCGATTTCATTTCACGATTTTAATTGTGACTAATCACTATGCTACTCTTGGACAATGTGACGTGGATTATTTTATGATATTGAAATGTTCTATCAATAACGTTTGGGATGAGTGGGCTAATGGCTGTTCTGTGGAGACCCTTGTAGTGATGGGAATCAAACCGGCCTTTACCCCAGGGAAGTCAAATGTGTGATGGGCTGATGTCTTTAATCACACCTGTAATGCTATGTGATTAGAGGAGATCACATGAAACTTTTCATGACCAGTTTTTACTTCTCACTGCCACAGTGGACAAGAATGAACATGTACTAACAATTAAGTGTAAGACTCAAGACTGGAAACAGCAAGACTCCATAATGGGTTACTGAGGTGAGTTATAAGATCAACCTCTTGGAGACAGTGTTAAGAATAGGGGCTGAGCACAGTGGCTCATGCCTGTAATCCCAATACTTTGGGAGGCCGAGGTAGGTGGATCACCTGAGGTCAGGGGTTTGAGACCAGCCTGGCCAACATGGTGAAACCCCGTCTCTACTGAAAATACAAAAAATTAGCCAGGTGTGGTGGTAGGCGCCTATAGTCCCAGATACTCAGGATGCTGAGGAGGGAGAATTGCTTGAACCCGGGAGGCAGAGGCTGCAGTGAGCTGAGATCACGCTACTGCACTCCAGCCTGGGCAACAGAGCCAGACTCCATCTCAAAAAAAAAAAAAAAAAAAAGAGAAGAAAAAGAAACAAAACCATTTAGGCAAACTAATTTAATTGCAATAGAATCTTGAGATAACAGAATAGTCTAGGGCATTGGGTTTTTCCAACTCTTCTTGTTTTGCTTTGTTGTCAGCAGTGGGACCGTTTTCTCAGGGAGGTCTTATGCAGAATGTATACGTAAGTTAAGACAAATGTGTTCTTTTTATTTTAGTAGTTTAAATTTAGAACTTTTACTTCTTATAAAATCAGTCCACCAATGAGAGAAAAAAAATGTTATTTCGAAGGACACAAAAATTTGAAACTAGCTGAAAATGGCAGTTTGCTATAACCATTAGAATCCACATTTGTTTGCTGGCTGCCAAGTAGCAATAAAACCCACATAAATGAGGAACTGCAGATGGCAAGTGGCTTCAACCACAGAGGCCCAGAGGAGGCTTGACTCTGAGTTCTACACCAAAAACAGGTGATTTGATGGCCAATGATAACCTCTTAGGGATCTTGAACCTATTAACATTTGATATAAACACATTTTGTCTTGGTGTAATTAAGTTTTTTTTTTTGTTTTTCTTTTTTTTTGAGACAGAGTCTCGCTCTGTCACCCAGGCTGGAGTGCATTGGTGTGATCTTGGCTCACTGCAACCTCCACCTCCCGGTTCAAGCGATTCTCCTGTCTGTCTCCTAAGTAGCTGGGATTACAGGTGTCTGAAACCATATCTGGCTAATTTTTTGTATTTTTAGTAGAGATGGGGTTTCACCATGTTGGCCTGGCTGGTCTCAAATTCCTGACCTCCGGTGATCCACCTGTCTCGGCCTCCCAAAGTGTTGGGATTACAGGTGTGAGACACCGTGCCCAGCCACATTTTTGAAGTGCAACACTGATTAAGAATCAATCAAAGCAAACCTTTGCAGACTTATGGGAAGAATCTCCAGGAAGCCTGACAACGACCAGGCTCAACAATTCCTTCAAGTCCTCTCTGAGACTTGGGACACTAAATCTTAGGCCTAAGAAATACTGCTGTCGCCCCCCAGGAGAGCTGCTGCCATTCCACTAGGAAGCCCAGCCTGGTCTACTGGAGGCCAGTAAGGTGCCCAGTTGACAGCCACCAGTTACTACCAGAGGTGTGAGCAAGGCTGCCTGGGAACAACATATGCTTCAAGGGGTCCCCATGTGACTGCAACTACATGCAAGAGCCCACGGGAGACCACGCAAGAACACTCCAGGGGGCCTCAGCCCAAACCACAGTCATAAGCAAAGAAATGGTTGTTCTTTTAAACCATTGTGCTCTGATATTGTTACACAGCAATAAGTAACTGACACATCTTAAATAAAGCTATATATCTTATATTAAAAAATACCCAACATTGATTAATACATGTACAAATACAATTTTTCACCCACAGGTAAACAGTATCAGCCTGTTGGCATGTACAAGTCAACTTTCTCCTTACCTGATTCTGGTTAACCTTTTCTATGTCAGCACTCGCTTTGGGAGTGTCCTCTGTCAAATGAGTCCGTGCGACTTGGTCTCTCATTGGCTCGCTAACTGCTGGTTCCATTTCGAAGCAAAATATGGTCCTGTTTGTAATCAACCTTTCTTTTCTTAAAGACATAGTTAGAGATAGACATTAATGTTGCCTAAGTCAAAACATCTTTAGCTGTTAGTGTTTTGGGCAGATGCCATCCCCCGTTAATGTTTTTACAAATAGCTGAACCATAGCTACAGCTGTTCGATGAGACACCAGGCTAATGTTTCTGGGATGTAGGCATGACTGGGCCCACGACTCACCATACTGTTGGATTAGAGGCAGCACAGGAGGCCAGTTAAATCAGCTCACTTATCAGTGACAACATAAAAAATGTCTTGGGCATTGTAGCTTTTTCCATGGCTCTCCCATGCTTCAGTCAGCCTCAATTTCTCCTGTGGTGCTCATTAGGGTGTGGCAGTGCCCACACCTAGGGAGTCCTGGTCTGGGCCTATCGTGAACTGTATGGATCTACTCCAGTCACTTCCCTTTGCTGCAGCTCAGTTTTCCCATCAATGAAATGGGCGCAAGGGCTTATGTCTAGGAGCTCAGGATATGGGATGCTGGGACAGGGGATGAGTGGAGTGCAATAGGAGACGGAGTTCTCCTGCTTGGCTAAGTTAAAGCTACCCCGACGATGTGTGGAGGAACTTAAGAGTATCTAGGGCCATCAGAAACCCTTGGGAAATGGTCAGAGTATGGTGGGCACCCAGCAGTTCACAGCAGGGAGACGGTAGCAACAAAGTCCAACTCCTCTGTTACCAAACAGAGGAGTATGGCTTTAGTGACAGCCCTTAAGGTGCTCCTCTCCTTAGTCACCCATGATACTGATTAGTCATGGATCCCCTAACATCTGGAGATGGCAGAACCCACGACAAGATAAGAGTCTAACTTTGCTCAAGAAAAGCTAGATTCACAGAACACTTCAGTGAGGAGGTGGCAGGCAGGCAGCGCTGGGGTTCCACCTGCTGTGATTGCTCCAATCCAACCCCACACCTCGAATTTTACACTCCTCGCCACTTTTAATGAATGGGCATGATCATGTGTCCCAGTGGGGACTGATTTTACGGGCATGTAGAAGGCCAAAATGGCCTTGAAATGGATGCAGGACCCTCAATGTCTGGAGGGGCCATTTTGGGGGAACATTTCTCTGAACTCATCATGAAAGTTATCAAGAAACTGTATTTCAAAACTTGACTTGTCATGGCCATTTTTAGAATGCACTGAAGTCAATCTGTAGCTCTGTGCCTGCCTTGTCCCTCCCTTTATCCTGTGATCCCCTTCACATTGGTAGGGGCCCTGTCAACTGTTCATTTGAAAGACATGTGGCTGATATTCAACTCACTGAGACTCAATGTGTATCTGGACCAAAGCAGCTAGAGAACGAGGATTTTGGCACCTTGCACCAAAGCCTTGCCCACTGCTGTAACTTGCGCATGAAGCATAGTGCCCAGCACAAAGTGGGCACTCACATGTCGGCCGGGGGTCATGAGACTACCGTGTGTGGGCACACCCACCAGAGCTCCCATACTGCTCTCTACTGCATACACGCATATCCCATCTAAGGTGCAGGGGCTTCAGTGGGGCAAATGACTATTATTTTGTGATGATACAATCACGAATGCCCACTGCTGGCTTCTTATCCAGATTCCCCAGATATTCAGGGAAATGTGAGCAAATGAAAAGGCACATGGCATCTACAGGGGCAAGGAGACTGCCCACATCTGGCCTGGACCCCACCAAGGCCTTATTGACCTCTGCTGGCAGAGGGTCTGAGGGGTGTGTGCCTGGGGCAATGACAGCAGCGCATGACAGGCTAACTAGGCCAGCCAGGCTAAATAAGCCCACCCCTGTGGAGTTCTGCTTTTGTAAGCCTCTGCTCACCCTCTACGCCTGAGAAAATCACAAATCATGCCACTCCTCAGTGCAGCTGGCAATAAATGAATGAACCCAGAGTCAGCTTGCTGCCTGGGTTCAAATCCCAGCTACTATTCCTTACCAGCAGGTAGCCCTCGGGGGAGTTATTTAAAAGAACTGAGTCTGCCTTTCCTCATCTGTAAAGTAAATGGCCTCTAAGGTCATTATGAGGATTGTGTCAAATACCTGTCAACGCACCATTCAAGGCAGCTTATTTTATCATCATTGTAACACGGCTTCCTGTGCAGGAGTCTCCCTGCCCATGCCTCCTCTTGGGCTGCCTTTGGACTCTCTCCACCACTTTAGTCCTCCCCTATCTAATCTGCTGCCATGCGGTATAAGTTTGGGCAGGCAGGGGCTGTCCTGTCTGCCCTGGAAACGGCTCCCAGGTCCTGCCTAAAGGCTAACTCCTGGGGTTGCTGCAACAACTAGATGCTGGCTAACAAATCAACAACCAAGGACTTGTTTTGTAAAGTATGTGTACAGCGGCAGCATGGGGCAGGGGTGTAAAGAAAGAATAAGACAGATTGGGACTCGCAAGCAAACTTGGGTGGAAAGAATTATTTCCTCTTTGGCCTCATTCAATGAATAGCACGATGACTAACACCAAACACTTCATTCAGTTCTTCTTGAACCAAAGAGTAAGTTTAACTGCTCCTGTAGCCTTAAGTTTTGTATGAAAAGTAGGAAAAGAATGGGCCAATAGAGGTCCTTGGAGGTCTGGTGGGCCCTAAATCCAATGACAAGTGTTCTTACAAGAGACATACAGAGGGGAAAGGCAGGGAGAAGAGGAGGAGGCCATGTGAAGATGGAGGCAGAGGTTAGAGTGATGTGGCTACAAGCCAAGGAACACCTGGAGCCACCAGAAGCTGGAAAAAATGAAGAACGAGTCTCCCATTGATCCTTCGGAGGGAACATGACCTTGTCAACACCTTGATTTTGGACTTCTGGCCCCCAGAACTGTGAGAGACACATTTCTGTTGTTCTAAGTCACACAGTTTGTAGTCATCTGTTACAGCAGCCCCAGCAAACCATACGAGTATCCTTTGCAGTCCCGAAATCCAAATAGCAGAGCTGCCAATTCCACAGGTCCCCTTGTACGACTAACAAAAGCAAGACGCCTTAGAGCCTATTCCTCTCCTCATTTGCTAGAGGAGGATGTAGGAGGTGAAAGAAGAAACATGTCTCGCCCCAACGGAGCTGTACTGCTGAAACAATAATCACACAATTCTTTGCAAACCAGCCTCTTGTCAAAACAAAATCTCCTTTGTCTCAAATTACATACCAATTATTTTAAAGTTTGTAAATACTATGAGTCAGATAAGAATTTTGGTGACAGCTTAGCTGTCTCTATGGGTTGGAGTACCCAGAGCTAGCCTCACAAATGAGTCAGATCCCATAGGCAACCCCCGCCTGCTGCCTACTCACCTAAATTCACCATGTGATATACGCTCAGGTTACAATGTACATTGAGAATACCTCTGACTGAATAGACATTTCTCCAAAGAAGATCTACTTTAAAGATGGCCAAAAAGCACATGAAAAGATGTTCAACAGGCTGGGTGTGGTGGATCACGCATGTAATCCCAGCACTTTGGGAGGCTGAGGCAGGTGGAACACTTGAGGTCAGGAGTTCGAGACCAGCCTGGCCAACATGGTAAAACCCCAATACAGGAGCACCCAGATCCTTAAGCAAGTCCTTAGAGACCTACAAAGAGACTTAGACTCCACACAATAATAATGGGAGACTTTAACACGCCACTGTCAACATTAGACAGAACAATGAGACAGAAAGTTAACAAGGATATCCAGGAATTGAACTCAGCTCTGCACCAAGCAGACCTAATAGACATCTACAGAACTCTTCACCTCAAATCAACAGAATATACATTCCTTTCAGCACCACATCGCACTTATTCCAAAATTGACCACATAGTTGGAAGTAAAGCACTCCTCAGCAAACGTAAAAGAATAGAAATCGCAACAAACTATCTCTCAGACCACAGTGCAATCAAATTAGAACTCAGGATTAAGAAACTCACTCAAAATCGCACAACTACATGGGAACTGAACAACCTGCTCCTGAATGACTACTGGGTAAATATTGAAATGAAGGCAGAAATAAACATGTTCTTTGAAACCAATGAGAACAAAGATACAACATACCAGAATCTCTGGGACACATTTAAAACAGTGTGTAGAGGGAAATTTATAGCACTAAATGCCCACAAGAGAAAGCAGGAAAGATATAAAATTGACACCCTAACATCACGATTAAAAGAACTAGAGCGAACTAAAGAAGCAAAAGAGCAAACAAATTCACAAAAGCTAGCGAAAGGCTAATGAAATAACCAACATCAGAGCAGCACTGAAGAGATAAGAGACACAAAAAACCCTCAAAAACAATCAAAATGCATGAATTCCCAGGAGCCTGGTTTTTTGAAGATCACAAAATTGGATAGACGTGCTAGCAAGATAATAAAGACAGAAAGACAGAAAGCGAATCAAATAGATGGCAATAAAAAATGATAACGGGATATCACCACCGTCTCACAGAAATACAAACTACCATCAAGAATACAGTATAAACACCCTCTCATGTCGAATTCAAACTAAAACATCTAAAAAGAAATGGAATATTGCCTAGACACACTACATCTCCCAAGACCTAAACCAGGGAAGAAGTGAATCTCTGAATAGACCATTAACAGGTCTCTTGAAATTGCAGGCATAATCTAATAGCCTACCCCAACCAAATAAAGTCCAGGACCAGACGCGATTCACAGCCGAGTTCTACCCAGAAGTACAAGAGGGAGGCTGGAGCTATTCGCTTCTGAAACTATTCCAATCAATAGAAAAAAACGGATCCTCCCCTAACTCATTTTATGAGGCACATCCATTCTATACGTCGACACACAATAACCCGGCTTTTTCAATCATCCTGCTCGGAAAATCCCAATAA